CAACACAATTTGACAGGAAAAAAAATCTGCATTTTATGCCCACTGATTCCCGAGGAGCTACTAGTCAAAGCTTAGCATTTCTTGATATGGTGAGTAGTGTGTTCTGAAAAAAAGGGAATGAAAATGGACAAGAACAAAACAAAAATCGAAAAGCATAAAAAAAACTTGATATAGAAGATCTGAGTGCTGCACCTTCGATTCATCTACTGCTCGCCAAAGCATCATCAGAAATGATCTGAGTGAAGCCATCAAGAAGCCATTCTTAAGAAAAGGAAAGTAGGAGAAAAGCTGAGGTATGACAAATTACACAAAGAGCTAGAGTATCAGTATTAAAAGGCCTCATGGAGTTATGAATGCAAATTGGAAATGTTTTATTTAAATTAAGTCAGTATGTACAGAGGCAGGTCAGGAGAGAGGTACAATAATGTGCTTTTACAGACATCAGTGAAACATGGTGGGGGTCTGTCCTGGTTTGAGGCTTTGTTTCATTTCACAGGAGTACACTTTGACAATAAACTGGACTGGGATAAAAACACCACTGCACTCTACAGGAAGGTCCAGAGTCGTCTCTATTTTCTGAGGCGGCTGAAGTCTTTCAACATCTGTTCGACAATGCTCAGGATTTTCTATAAGTCTGTTGTGGCCAGTGACGTCCTCTATGCTACCTCAATGCTGAGATTACCCAAATGCACCACTGAATGGCACAAGAAATCGACGTCTGGTTCAATCCCAGGAGACATGAACTGCTTTAGGGTTGTGTCAGGAAGGGGATTTGTTGTAAAAACTCAAATCAAATATGAAGAGCTACCTGATGTAGTGGCCACTCATGAATAAAGAATCAGCTGAGAGTAACTCCATCTATACAATACCATGTGGAAAGTGTTTAATTGGCAAGTGGCTTCAATTTTCACAATGATCCCAGACACACTGCCAATGCAGTATAAGTGCACCTGGATACAAAATTACACAATAAAACACCATAAGGCATGAAATGGCCTCCTCAGAGTTCAGACCCTGTAATATAGATCAAGCAAGTCAGTTTAGGCTCAGTGTAAATCAGGAAAAACTGTTCATATTTAGATACTGGATGCCACTGTCATGGTCCTCCAGTCCTCTCTGGTGTTGTGTTCTTGTTGTTCTGCCTTCCTCTTCACTCCTCGCCAGGGCGGCTCCTGCTCCCCGCCTTGATCCTCCACTCCTGGTCACAATTACTCACCTGCCTTTCATTACTTGTGATTGGTCCTGACACTCTAGGAGGAATATCCTTCAATTGGTGCAGGAGTATGAAAAGGAATCAAGCAAACTAGTGGATTAGAGTAACCATCTCCATTTCAACCTAAGCTGTAGACAAAGCAGACTTGTTCCCAAGAGTTTGCACCTCAGATCTACTGTCAGGGGACACAGCAGAGTTGATTCTATGGAAAGCACAAAATCAACTTCTAAGTGAAAGAGTGAAACAGGTCAGTTTTACTATAGATGCACTCTGGAACAAGATTGTTCAGACTGCAGGAACTCAAAGCACTTTGCACGCTTCTGCCACTACTTAAGCCAAGGCGAGGTGAAAAACATCACCTAGTTAGTGTAGCGCTGGTGCTCTTTTTGAATCTGATCATGTTTTTCTAATGAACGTTTCATTTCTCTGTACAGATCTTCCTGGACCCTTTCTTGTTTCCCTTGAACCCTGTTGGATGAACGTGAGTGGGTTCCAGTGTTGAGTGGGTTTGAGTGAGTCACAGACTGTGTGAAGAGGAGTGTAGACATGTTACCCTTACCCTGGATCCCCCACCCCCACAGGGTGGGGGATCCTTCGTCACTGTATATATTACTGCTAAATATTCCATCAGTACAGTACATAAAATGTGTTTTTGGCCTTATTTTAAACTGTATCAGAGGAAAATTCGATTTGACATCTCTTGAGGTTTCAAAGAAACGAAGAAGAGAAAAAAGTTTCAGACTCTTTGTCGTATTTGTGAGGTGTTTATTTTGGAGCATAATATACATAGCACAAAGCATCCACGAGACATTACACAATCAAAGAGCGTGACTGTTCAGTGGATTATTTCAGGCTTATAATCGCTTGAAAGATAAACTTTGGACCACATGTAAAAGAACTGTCATTATAAAAAGTTTGCATGCGTTTTATATGATATTATCTGACAAAGCAGAGCAATGTGTAAGGATGAGCAGGCAGCTGGTTCAGAAAGAGCTCTGGTCCAGTCTTTTCATGATGCGTTGGGTCCAGGAGGCAGACGCATCCACACACACTGAACGAGACTTTTTGGTAATGAAGCTGAAACAAAGAGGTGGAAATTCAGAAATCTGAATTTTAAATAAGCTTCAAAATTCTCTCAGTAAATATGTTGTAAAAATAACAATAATAATAATAATAATAATAATAATAATAATAACGTATACTTTATTTATCCCAGTAGGGAAATTACTCTCTGCATTTAACCCATTCACTCTAGTGAAGCAGTGGGCAGCCACCAATCAGGCGCCTGGGGAGCAGTGTGAAGAGACGTTACCTTGCTCAGGGGTACCTCAGGGTAGCCGTTCAGTGGTTTCGAATGCCCGAATATGTACTTTTTTTTTTTAAATGACCAGTAGACAAAATGTCATAATATAAACACTTAAATGTGTATTTCAAACAATTTACAAGCAAAGTAGCCAAACATCCACGTAAAATTGAGCAAATTATGAAAACAAATTTGTGCATTTTTCTTGAACATTTACAGGATAAAATTAAAAGACAATAGTAGGAGAACAAATACAAGTTCAAATAAAAAGTATCAAACTTATACTATGTCCTGAGCATCATGTGTAAAATGACAAGTTTTAATCATCCAAAAAACGTCCTGTTACAATGATCATACTCCATAATTTTCAGTCACTGTGTTAAACATTATAAATTAAAATAAACCCAGTTTTCTTCACTTACATGATGGCAGACTTTGGGCATCGGTGATCAGTCAGTCGATACGACTTGATGAGGTTTGCTTGAATTCTTCCCGGGTACAACTTGAAACAGCAGTTGTCGGGACCATTTGCATCTGAGAAAAAGACATTTCATTACACTTACTCAAAAAACAAAACCTCTCTTTTAATGATGACATTTAAGGTAATCTTACTGTTTCAGTTAACTGCAGACAACAAAGCAGCTCCAAGGATGCACAGCAAAAGGAACTGAGCGGTTTTCATTACGATTCCTCAGGAGTTGATGATGATGATGACGATAAAGACAACAGCTGCTCTTCAGACGCAAGCAAGGGCGGTGGTGTGCTGTTACATTTATCAAGATCGATACTTTTTTTTTTAAGGTACATAGGGTGTCATTGGTGTGAAAGAGGGAGGGTGGATGTGGTTTCAAAAATTGCTGAAAATGCCTCTGACAGAACTTTTCAATCGGTTACATTGACAGGAAATGAAGCTGTGGTTTAACCCAGCGATGCAGCTCAAAGCATGACACTGTTAACAAAAAACAACTTCTACACCCCCCTCGCCCAAAAGTTAAAAAAAAATATATGTCACAAAATATTAGGACCACAAAAAAACCACTAAAAAATTGGTGATCAGTCAGCTAATATGACTCCATGAAGTGTGCTTTAATTCTTCTTGGTACAACCTTCAGCAGCAGTTGTTGGGACTATTTCCATCTGATTAAAGAAGATTAAGATCAAACTGTTTAAAAAACATATAAAAATAAAAAAATATTGATGATCACCAGAGCTACCCCTCATCCTCCTTGTAGATAAGCAAATGGTATGAATTTCAAAGTCCACAGCTCTTTGTTCTCAAATTATCGCATTCCCAAGACTTTCAGAAAACTTGACCTCTGACCTTGAGATCACCTTGACTTGAGAAGGTCACAGGACTCAGACTTATGCACTATTTTAGGTAGCTGCACCTGAGGTATCAATTTTAGAATCCTACACAAGTTATCTGATTCACAAACATGGGTGTTGATGCAGCCCGCTCATCTGGCAGGGTAGCCCCAAAATGTTGAGGAAGACAAGGAAAATTTCTTTGAATTAAAATTTTTCTAAAGTGTTATACTTTATAGGGAAATTAGGGAATTTAACATGGAAAAATTTCTTTATTTGCATAATTTTCAGTTTAGAAGTCTGAACTTTGAGGCACCAGACAAAGAGCGATTCAGAAGACCCCTATGAGCAGAACACCAAGGGAACAGTTCACCCTGCCCAGGATAGGGTTACTGGGGCCCCGCCCCTGAGCCAGGCCTGGGGAGGGTGCCCACGGGCGAGCGTCTGGCCACCAGACTTCGGTCCATGGGGCCCGTCCGGGCACAGCCCGAAAACGTGACATGGGTCCATCATTCTGCAGGCCAACAGGAGGCACCGTGGATTGTATGCCGGGCTGTAATCAGGACCAGAGGCCCTGGCGGACCAATCCCCGGCTACCAAGACTGGCAACTGGGACATGGAATGTCACCTCTCATGTGGGGAGGACCCTGAGTTAGTGTGTGAGGTTGAGAGGTGCCGGCTAGATATAGTCGGGCTCACCTCAGCGCACGGCTTGGGCTCTAGAACTATTCTCCTGGAGAGGGCTTGGACTCTGTCTCAGTCTGGAGTTGCCCCTGGTGAGAGGCGGGCTGGAATGGGTATCCTAGTATCCCCTCAGCTTGCTGCCTGTACGTGGTGAAGAGAGAGCTGAGTGTAAAAGCAAAGCTCTCAATTTACCGGTTAATCTAAGTCCCTACCCTCACCTATGGCCGTTCAGTTGTTGTCTTGCTCTAACATCACAAGCTGCAGAGCTGCTGCGAGAACAGGAGTACACGAAAAGCTGAAACTTTCTATTTAAAAACTGTATTTTATATTCAATTTCGATCTTTAGGAGGGGGAAAGACCCTACTATGTCAGTGTTGCAGAAGAAATCGAGACTAATTACATCAGCTTCTATTGTCCAATTTTTTGTAAGCCTGTTTGACTTGCAGCCTCAGTTTCCCATTCTTAGCAGCCGGTCTTGTGCTGCTCTATCCCATCTGCTCCAATTTATGACATGCTGTTCATTCAGAGATGCTCTTCTTCTTCATTACCATGCAAAATTCAAATTTACTTGAATGACCTTATGTCCATAAGTTTAGAACCCAATTATATCTACTGTGGCAATTTAAATATTTAAGGAGAAAATAAGAATTAAAGTCTTCCAGGTTCCAATTTAAAATAAGTCATCTATATAATATAT